CCAATCGATCTCGAGTCAACATTTGCATAAACTCACTTGTCCAGCAATCATTCTCATCGACAGAGTCGAAACAACAACAACAACAACAACAACAACAGAGAGCAAGAGCACGGGAAAGCGACGGATGAAATTATTCATCTCCTAAGAATATGACTTATGACCTGTGATTTTCCACGATCCAGACATATTACGTCGATTGATGTTTCCAAAGCGAATATTCTCGGTGGCTGACCGACGAGCCATTTGGTTTGCGCAAGTTATACAATCAGTCAACTAAGGTACGATGCAATGTTGTGATAAAATACAAAAATCAAAGAATATTATGCATGTTATCACAAATAGTTTGTGATTCCCATGTAAAACTAGTGCAATCACTTACACGAACACTTTGAAGCTGGTCGTTGTATCGTTGGAGGTAGGTATCCAACAGTTGGGAAGTATTCATCCNNNGCGAACGAAGTGTCCCTAAGGTTGAATATTCGATCAAGAACAGGGCAGTGAATGAATATTCAACCTTAGGGACACTTCGTTCGCAGTCGTACTCCGGCAAATTAAACAAATCACCTGTACAGACTATTTATTTTTATTTTCGATTGAAAACATACCGGAAGGTGTTTTATCTCCATAGCTGGAATTTGAACCGGGACCACGATCCGCATAATAGCTCATAGCCATTTGATTACCACGTATACGTCCATTCATTATTGTGCTGTGCGTCGGCGTGAATGTGGAACTACCGGATCGGGATCCCATTTGTTGTGCACCACCCGACGGCACATAGTTCATCCCCGGTCTGCCAAACGTCCCGTTCGGAGTAGTTGTTTGACCGAAACTGGTCTGTCTGACCAATGAGGCCATGTTGTGCTGAGATGGGGTTCGGGGAGCAATGAAATATGCATTCCGTTCCAAGCTATTCGAGTTGGGATATCCGGCCGATCGAGTGGCTGATATACTCGAAGCGGCTCCCGAATTTGGGGAGTCCACACGTTGAATGATTTGTGGATAAACCGAGACTCCGGCATTAATGCGCATATTCATCGGGGTGCGGCGTTCCGCATGGGGCATCATGGGCGCTGCGAGACCCATCTCATTGATCGCAAACATGCCTCCATGTTGATTATAATCGTTCATGGCTACCGGTGGACTGGCATCCGCATTCAAATATGTCAATCCAGTCACTTCCGAATCACCCATCTGGGTGGAGGGTAATTGAAGTCCGTTCGAGTTGTAATCCACATGAGTCGGTGAGGGCATTGCCAATGGATTGATTGCTTGCAAACTTGGGTGTGGTGATCCAGTGAACGAGTTATTGCTCTTGAGAATATTTGATCCATCTGAACAAATATTCACGCCCATAGGACTCAGATTGGGATGGTAAGCCATAAACTAAATGTGTGAAGAAATGAGAAATGTTCAATAAAGAGAGACAGAGAGTGCATCCAGTTGCAACTTTTTAAATTGGCAACGCACGATCGATATTGATTCATGTGTGAACCGTAATTTGTACCAGCTAAAATGATTCTCGCTATGGTCTTCGAGGGAAACGTTTGCTATCTTGGTGATACAAGTATTGAGGTGTATGACATAAGATTGCCTACGGGTCACTGAATTCAAGTCTATGAAATATACGATTACAGGGTAACAAAGCAGCAACGGCCCTTGAAATAAACTGGGGTGGAAAGAAGCGGTTACAGAGATCTGAGATACTCATCGAACTGCTTACTAATCAGTTATCGATTGATTTCCAGATTACGTCATTTGGTCGGGTTATTTATGATAACCTCACAGTTCGAGGTGGCGAGTCGGAATGGTTACCGCCTCGGCTGTGCAGAGCATAATTCACCTCGGTTGTTTACAGATTCATCAAAGTTCTCCAGATGACCTTAATTGACCTTTCGATATCTACTGTGTATCAGTGTTGGTTTGAGGCTCCACAACTGAACTACGACTGACCTTCTCCCGGATGTAACCAACTACTTACTTTTACCTTCCTGCGGCTGACTCCTTGGAAAGGATAAGCCGGTTCCACACATGATCATGATCACAAAGTTCGTTGGGAGTTTGGTACGAGAAACTTCTCCAGCGTCACTCAGCTTTTTTTTATTTTAAGGGCAAATCTCTAGCCTTTGAACAATCCAGTGCGAACTGCAAGGCTACAGGAATTAATTCCTCGCCTCGGAACTGAGGGGATCAATGACTTTAGTTTTAAAATGCCAGTCACATCGACTTTTGTCACGACACCGTGACTGGGCTTATGCAACTTTTAAGTGGGAGCCAGGTGACCAGCCTGAAATGTACCATACCCTGGTAGTGCCGCCGCTATTTGTTGCGGTATGCCACAACTTAAACACAGCTAAGCTTGTTCGGTGAAGGTATCCCCCTATCCACAACCCGAGGGCGCGCCTGGTAGCATTCAGCTCTGCTTGCCTTGACGGTTGTGTTTAACTGGTTGAGGTCATCAAAGTAATGACTCAGATGTCCCAGGTTCGAGCCGCTTCACCACTGACCATCTTCTCCATTTCTGTATTTTCCCAGGCAGCCCTGGTATAACCGTGACTCCCTTTCCGAAAGTTGACTGTACATTTTTATATTTAATAAATAGCAAAGGTAGTAAAAAGACATTATTGTTATTATTCTTTTATGATAATATTGTAGAAACTTGGGAATGTATAATCGAAAAGAATTCTTCTCTTTACTGGTTTTTTTCAAGGAATATTGGGTAGATTTCCTCATCTAATTTGAACCTAAGGCAGTGAATGCGTTTATGCTACTCAGTTACTCAGAATGCGTTTGCCAGCAAAGAACTTATCGATTTGAACAGGAGTTTTGGACATTGTTTCTGGAAAAAAGATAACACTTTCAGCTCCCGCAAATGTGCAGTATGTCTAACTGCTTGGACTTTCGCGGTAACCCTGCTAAGCAAAGACGAATACATTTCACTTTTAGATTGAGCCATAAACTAAATCAATTTATGGGTGCTACTACTTTGGAGATCACGGCTTCCCAGTCTACGTTTCTGATCAGTTCACTTGGATGTTATTTTCTCTTCCTCATTCTGTTTGTTTCTGGACAAAGCACTTTGTGTCTGCTCCCACTCGCTCTATCTTGCACGCGCGCTCTCCAATGAGGCTGAGAGAAATGCCGATTTGGGCCACCCGTGGTGTGCTCCCATTCTCACCGCAGTACGTACGTACCGTACGTAAACACATGCACCTGCATCGTCCGAATCCCGGACAGGTGATTCCGAACGGGAAGATCCATTCCCGTTCCTCATTCCATCTTATGCACCGAGGCATCCGTGCACGAACTGACGCCAGCATGCACATTCACCTCCCACCCACCCCTTTCCCTCTCATGGATGTCTGTCTGTCTGATACCGGTCACTGAGTCGTTCACATTGTCTCTGCTTGTTCCCCGGCCCTTCGAACAGGTGCACTCGTTCCGGTTAAATTTTCCTCACTGCCAAATCACAAGAGACTTGCTAGACTAGGCATTTTGTCATTGCACGTCACCCGTCCCGCCAAACCCAAATTGTTCGTTTCTGTCCGGTTTACGGGTGAATCAGATTTACCGTATCCACCGCATCCACCATCCTTGTGAGTTCATATGAGCAGTTGACTAGTGAAATTGAATCGCGAATACACTGCCGCCGAGCATGAAATTAACTACCGTGGATTAGACATCAGGACAGAGTGCTGCTGGATAGAGTGATTCATACTAGTCTATGGATTTGGAACGCCAGTCCACAGCACCGAAATATAGCACGGATCTCATTTAAACCTGTTGCGCAGCGATCAGATGAGATATTTCATTCGCTTGCAGATCGCATATGCTGGTTCGAAATTCTCACTTCTAGACCATTTCCAAGACATCATCATGCGTATGTGTCGCGCAGTCAACACGTATCGAACGTTGCTTGCTAAAGTGATTTAGTTCGTAATTGGCGAGAAACTGACTCGCGTGAGGTGCATGGGACAAACGGAATTATGTACACAGCTGAGCTGACTAGATAGCACACAAGATTGTGAAACAAACTAAAGTGAAAAAAGTAATTCGTCGTTTTACCAGGTGTTTGCTATATTGTTTCGATAGATTAAACACCATTTGGTTGCCTTGAATTTACCTTGAAGTTGTACTGACATCATTTGTGATTATTATTGTGCATGAAGTAAATTCCCGGGAAATTTTATTCTTAGTATGTCATAGCAGGTTTGTGAATCGGAATTTATCACCAAGGGCTTTGGAGATCCAAACGGTGACGCGTACGTACCATGTAGTGATGGAACAGATACACATCATTTTTGGGTGTCCAGTGGTAAGTTCCAGAGCTGCATACTTAGGGTTTATCAGCGAATAGGACGTAATGCGAGAGCGTATAGTTTAGCCACTGGTCAGGAAACCAGCTGTAACTTAAAATCCATATTCTCCCCAGGGAAAAATAAGCTTTGATTTATTTAGACAGAAAAAATCATGACAGATGTTATCTAACATGAAGATAGCTAATTCGTTTGACTGAAAAATTAAACTTTGTCATTATCGTCATCATCATCGAATCATTCCCGTCAACTATCGTCATTTTGTTTGGCTCGTCCATCAAATCAAAAACCAATTAGTGAATGTGTTATTTTCCTTTCAACGACAACTTAAATCTCATTCGATGTATAAGTATAATAAAGCTAGCGTGACCAACTCATCCTTCAGACAGACAGACAGACAGACAGATCTCCTTTCGACACACCGGCAATTCAATTCCCCGAACCATCCAAGTATCATCAATCACTCACGTGTTCACTGGATCGATTTTGCAATAGTAAATCCTCGTTCAAGCTGGACCCATCCATGTAACCGTTGTACGATGGACGGGAATTGATTGTCATGTCTCCACCATATGGATTTGTGGTCGGGCATAGTTGGACCAGTTCGTTTCCCATGAACACTGGTTGTTTAAGTGTACGTCCGTGGCAGGGTGGAAGCCAAATGATAAGAGACAAGGTTAGGATGAAATGAACTACGTAAATTCAATTAATGTCACATTAATTCTTCACCGCACCACTCGTGCAGATGAGCAAAAGCTTCACGATGAATAAAAAGGAAATAAGTTTGTAAACGGAACTGTTGTGCCTTGAAATTGACACATACACACACACATACGCACACACGGCGCGTGCGGTCAATAAACTCACTTGAACTTCGTCTCTGTTGATGCAACTTTTTACGATGCCGTTGGGCCAGGAACACAATAATCAACAGATTAGCAATCAGGACCAGAGAGCCGAAAATAGACGCCGCAATGATAATCACCACTGCCTTATCCTCGGAGGTTTGCACGTCTAAACCGGCTCGGGCGAGTCGACGCTGTGATTCATCGTTGTCATCCGCACTTGCCCCTTTCGTATCCCAGTGACCGGCACTCATAGATTTTACTCTGGCCTCGTCGTGCATAGCTTCCTTGTCGGGGATCGGGTCTCGAGCTAAA